TTTTTTCCCCCCCCCCCCCCCCCCCCCCCCCCGAAATTACAGTGCAAAACATTTTCGGGAAGCGTTTGCATATTTTAAGCGTATTTCGCAGTAGCCAATTTTCTGGAGCTTTATTAAAATCCTCCAAAGATTCACCGGCGGGTTTTTGAAATAATTTGCACGTACGGCTCAAGATTTTATTTCATGATATCTTTGCGTGTAAATAGGACACCGTGATCGGTATCACCGCCCTTGGGAAGCTGGCTGAAAGGCTGTCATTTCGCAATACGAACATGGAGATAACTTTTCTTCACGAGGACATAGAGAATAAGAGGAAAATGTTTGTCACGCCTGACAACCTTTTAGTAGTGGGAAAGCACGAAGTGAGTAGATCGTGAAATGAAACACTAAGAATTAGCTATCTGATTTGATCTGAATGCTGTCATATGTTCGGAAGTTCAGATGGTTCTCTTCAGTCTTTTATTTTCCGTGGGTAAAGAATTAGGTTGACCTGTGTTATTTTGAAAAATAATTTTACGTTTTGTATCAGTCGAGCAGCGATGATCGATTGCCTCATGATCTATAAGTTTTAATGCGTGTACAGTAATTCTCTCGAAGGCTTTTTTCTATCTGGTGAAAATAATCAACGTATACTGTAGTACTTCACTGAAATTTAAAGGCTTTTTTTCTTTTCCTTTTTATTATGAAGCAATTTCATATCAAAGGTATTTATTAATAGTTTTTAAACTTTTATACTTGCGCTTAATACTTATATCCGTATGCGTGATTTTGAGCGTGTACAATTTTTAAATTAAGTTGTCGAACTTTCAAATGCCCTTCTTGATCGAAAGTTTTGCTTTTACATCCTCAAATCATCATTTTTTATCTGAACATATGTATTTTAAATTGAAATTTGGCGATCAGATAAAAGCAAGCCTTTCATTTTTGTGTAAGTTTGAATTTTAAAAATGTTTCACATGTTAGTTGCCCGGATCGACCCGTTGGGTGGAAATCACTGGAAGTGGACGTGGAATGGCCCTAGTGCAGGTATCGTACAAATTCAATCTGAATGCATCCGGTGCGTATCCGTCCTTTGCCCTGGATCCGCAAATCGACAAAACAGCCGACCAAAACCACTTGCTCATGAGCATCTGCACACAGTGAGTTATTGATGCACAAAAAAGATAGTACAGGTGGACTCTCTGTACAGAAAA